GCCAGTCAATGTGGACCCTCTTCTAATCCGAATGGCCACCGCTTTTCCAGTCAGGATTCAGACCCTCGATCAAATTATCCTTTTCATGGACAAAAGCCACCTTATCCTGATGGTGAAGCTGGATTTCCTGGGCTACCAAATCCTTCTCAGGATGCATTAACTTTCCGCTTACTCTGTCCTGTTGAAAAGGTGGGAGGAATAATTGGAAAAGGAGGCAGCATAATCAAGACAATCCAACATGAGACTGGCTGTGAGATCCAAATTCTAGAAGGTGTGGCGAATTCAGAAGATCGCATTATTGCCGTATCTGGTCCAGCGGTATGATTGATTTAAAACCGCTGCTCTCTTTTCTTTTCTTTTCTTTTCTTTTCTTTTCACAATAACAGCCTTTTTTGTGAGTGACATGATTAGTGTCTTTTATGATCCAGTTTAAGATTAGATAATTGTAATAAAACAAAGATTCAGCATAAAGCAATAAACCTTTTTGGTGGGCAAGAAGTGTAGAAGAAATATGGAAAAGAAAAGAAATGGAGAAAAAGTGGAGTGTTTACTTCGTTATGAGAAAATAAATGGAAATGGTGGATCTCTACTTTCATTTCATCTCTCATATTCAGAGAAATAGGAGACGGATGAATCTGCTTAATCCTAACCATTTCTCGAACAACACAGAGAATCTTCCTATTTCTCTACTTTCTCTATTTTCATCTCTTTCTTAACCATATCTGTCTTTTATATTTCTTTCTAATACTAAACAAAGAAGCTTATTAGCAGTTGCAATGTGATGTCTACCTATGATGCTTTTGGACCTTTGCCTTCATTTTTATCTTTTGTTGCCGAGCAGGCTAAATCTACCTCCTGGGTTTCCCATAGTTGTATTTCAAAACTGTATTAGCCATCAAGCCATGTACATAAAAATGAACATTGACATTTGCTTTACTTCATTCCTGCAGCATCCACGTGATAGGGTAACTCCCCCTCAAGATGCATTGCTTCATGTACAGGCCAGAATTTGTAGGGCTTTACCTGAAAGTAAGGACAGCACGATGCTTGCAAGACTTCTTGTCTCCTCCAATCAAATTGGATGTCTTCTGGGAAAAGGTGGTTCTATTATTGCTGAAATGAGGAAGTCCACAGGTGCTTATATTCGGATTCTCGGGAAGGATCAAACCCCAAATTGTGCTTCTGAGAATGAAGAAGTAGTTCAGGTGACTAGATATGGAGATGTGTTTATACATTGGTATCCTCTGCTTGAGAGTGTTGCCAGTGTAGTTAACACAAGCACTAATTAAGTGTGAATTCACTTGGTTTCTCTTTAATGTTATTATGCTGCTTCATACCTGATCTGGCATGGTGGAGAAATACTTGAAATTTCAACCTTTTTGCAGGTAAATGGGGAATTTGAAAAAGTTCAAGAAGCCCTTTTTCAGATAACATCAAGATTACAGGAGCATTTCTTTCGCAATGCATTTCCTTCTATGAACCAAATGCCAAGTGCTCACTTTATGGATCATATGCCTCCTTTCCCTTCATACAGGGGAAGGAGAGAACTTTCTCCCGCGAGAATGTTTCCTACTATGGGCCCACCATTGTTTCACCGGTTTGATGCTGTTGGAGGCATACCTCCACGTGCCGGCTTCCATCCACATGATGAACATCCTCCTTTTTTGCCTAACAATTTTCACAGGTCAGGTGTCCGACCTCCTGCTTCAGAAAGGATGCTTTCTTCTGGACCTTGGGTTCCACAGGTATCGATAACTTTCAATAATCATTAGATTAGAATGAACATCTTGACATTTTAATGGGTTATATTTACACTTTTATTATCATGTTGAGTACCTAATGGTGCAAGGCAGCGAATTTGAACATGCTTATTAATATACACCCTCCGTCCCTTAAATTCTTCCCACTTACCTTTTTGGGATGTCCTAAAAAATTCTTTCCATTTCCCTTTTCGGAAAGTTTTGTATGGCTAACAATCATTAACCTTTTTCTTACTCAACCACAACCACACATTTCATCTTTATTCCCACTTTCTTAAACTCCGATCCAAGTCAAAACGGGAAGAATAAAGGGATGGAGGGAGTATTCATCATCATCATCATCATTTAAAGCTCTGAACTGGAACACAGGGACCAATTGATGGAGGTGGTCCACTAGGCATGCCTGACTTTGCAGCAGGCCCTCAGAGAAGAATTGGTGGATTTGGAGGGTACGTGCTCCTCCATATGTTTCACCATTATGACAACTATTCAGTTTATTTAATCAGTTCTGATTCTATTTATTGTGAGAGTAACATTAAATCTTTTACAAATTCAGCGGAAGTCCAGCTATAATCACTAATACCAAGGTGGAAGTAGTAGTTCCTCGTTCTGCTGTTCCCGAAATCTATGGAGACGGTGGGGGGTCTCTCAGACAAATATGTGAGGTGCATTCCATCATCTGAACACACATTCTGAATTGGATTTAGTATAATTTCATACATGGGGGTTGACAGCCTTATTAACATTGTTCTTTGCTAGATTTCTGAGGCAAAAGTTAGCATTAATGATCCCAAGCCTGGAGCAACAGAGGCTATGATTATTATATCTGGAACACCTGAGCAAGCAAATGCTGCACAGTCTCTTATTCAAGCATTTGTGATGCTCGAGTCTGAAGCATCATGATGATTTGATTATTATCATTTACGTAATATCTTAGCGACCTCATGTTTATAATTTTAATATTCTTTGTTATGCTTAGTAATACCTAATTCTTTGTGATGATATAGTCTAACACAGTGACGGGCTTGTCCTAGCAGCGGAATGTGGAAGTTTCTGTGGTAATTACCTCAAAGCTTGAAAGAAGCTGAGATGCGTTTTTAAACCTTTCCGACTTCAATGAACTTTCTGGAAGCAGCAGGAGGGTGTATAATCCTTCAGTAGCTTGTCTTAAATTTTTATGAATTCTATCTAGCTTCAATATATATGTATGTATTCTTGTTTGAGAATTTTTTGCTTGACAACTGATCTTGATGGTGCATGCCTATGCCTACAAAGCACAATGTATTTTTTACAGGAATAGTGAGACATCAAAAGTAATGACAAAAAGATAACTAAAAGGTAATAATAAATACAAGTAAACGAGTAAAGAGTCAGTTTGTTACTCGAAGTTGCATAAAAAGGGTCAAATAAGTCCTTATATAGGAGGCTCTGTCTGGCCGTCGCCATTTGGGGCGGTTTCTGGTGGAATTTTTTGACAATTTTTTTGAGCATCTTATTCATTAAGTCTAGTTTACTCATACCAAATTTCAGCTAAAACTTCAATTGGGAAGACATTCAAATGAATTCCTGAAGATAATTGCTCAGTTAAAAGCGCAATTATCTTCAAGAATTCATTTGAATGTCTTCCCGATTGAAGTTTTAGCTGAAATTTGGTATGAGTAAACTAGACTTAATAAATAAGATGCTCAAAAAATTTCATCAAAAAATTCCACCGGGAACCGCCCCAAATGGTGACGGCCGGACAGTAAGGACTTATTTGACCCTTTTTGTGCAACTTCGAGTACCAAACTGACCCTTTACTCATAAATAAACCCCATTGTACACAAGATTTATTTTTGGGAGTGGTGTGATTGGTTATAATTAAAGATTTATCTATATCACCCAGTGTCTGGATCCTTTCAATAAAAAAGAAAACAAACACTCATACCTTAATGGCTCAGTGCCTTGATCCTTATCAACAGTAAAAATAAAACATAAAGATTCACCTAAATAGCCCATCTCTTGATCCATTTCAATGGGACTACTGGTTTCTAGTTGTTCTGTTGTGCAATCTTTACAAAATGGATACCTTTGAAGTTGAGAAGATTTGTTTTAAACCATTGGAATCGGGACCCTGCTGGTCTGTAATCAGTACACAATGGAACTTGGCCTGGTCTATTGCTCATCTGCACATGTAACCTTCAATGGAAGTGTTATGTATGGGATTGTATTTTCCGATCTTATAAATGCTAATGACATCGCAAGTGGCAATTATTCCTTCCACAGCCTAACTGTCTCGGGGAAACTGTCTACTTGTTTCCATGTTCCTAAATCCTAACAAATTAATTTTTGTTCAAAAACTGTATGGATGATGATGAATTGATGACCTTTAATCCTCGAAAAAATTCTATATGTGCCATGGCCACCTGGATGCGGTTTTCAACTCATCCCTGACTTCGCTCGGCATTGACTAGTCCTTAACCCCTCCAATTGCTATATTTATTAGTGCTGTTCTGAGTCCATGTCTTGATAATCCATTCCAACTATTACATTTGCATGTTAGGCAACTAGGCAAGCTTCCATGTTATGTTTTTCTCCTTATCTAATTTGTCTTAGTAATGTTATATGTGTGTCGTGATTATTATTTATGGTTTGATTTGAATTTATCTGATGCGTCGAAATTTAGATGTAATGAACCTTTAAAAATATTCGAAACCTCCTTGAATGCAAAAATTAAGTTTTACTTGAGTCATTGAGTGATGGTACAATCATATGAAGTATTTGATACCTTTTTAAGATCTTTCTTACTAATTAAATAAGAGAACCTTCACATGCCACATTCCACTTCTTCAAATTCTTGCATACTCACCTACTCGGTACTACTAATTAACTAGTTCTGTTCTGTTCCATAAATTTCACATTGCATAACTACACATGACCCATTGACTACTATTTAACTAGTTCTTTATTTAAAAATATTACAATTTCATAGTTTAATAGAAGTTACAATAGTTACTCATTTGGACTTGAAAGGTTTGTATGTCTTGACATCAGATGCAAGGCCTTGAATTGATCCAGCAGCAGCAACAAGCGATACAATCAAACAAGTCCAGCTCAAGATTTTCAACCATACCCATCGAAATGAATACTTGGGGATCTTTGCCTGGGCGATGTGCATCTCAATGGGGAAGTAGACGGTGAGAGGATAGAACGAGGCTGCCCCGAGCAACCCCAAGAAGTCATTGAAGAAAGGGAATATCATCGCTACCACGGCCGTGACTATAACATAGCACGTCCTCCAGACAAGTCTAAAGAAGTTGATGGAGTAAGTGCCAAAGTAAGGAACCTTCATGGAATGCTCGGTCGTTATGAATTTGTTGTCCTGCCATCGACGGTTGCAACTCGACTCCACAACGCTGAATACTGGTTGACTGAAAACCTGAAAAATGAAAAACTAAATAAAGGGTGATTTTTTCTCAAATTATCCTCAACAATACGAATAAATGAGAGTGAAGTGATTTTGTTGAAATATTTGTCACATACCGGATTAGTATAAAATCATAAATCACTATATAAAATTGTGAACTCCATTTCTATTGGGTTGACATTTTTAGGACGATTGTCCCCCAAATCTTAACAGTTTTTATGAAAACTTTAGAAAAACAGTATCACTCTAATCATTTCATTCATAACCATGCTGAAAGAAATGTCACGTGCCTGATAAGCTCCAATAAGATGAATGGCGATGCAAATGTTGGCGAAGTCGATTAGCCAAAAGGGTTCGTAGAAGCCGAAACCAGTGAGGAAGTTCCCAGGAGCATCGTTCCCAAATGCCGCATATCCAACGCAGCCGCATAGAACGTAGAATAAGGTTGTTGTGGAAACACCAATTCGAGAGGCTTTCTTCATTACCTTGTTTTCTGGTGGGTGTGCTCTCAATGTGTCCTGCAACCATGAAGCGTAGTCATTTCTTTTAATTACTATGACTAATGAAGTTACTTATTAAGCACATACACAGTGCCCCTATTACACTTGTTCAATTTCCTAAAACTTTCTGAAATTTTATTGTGAAACTATGACTCATATTCAGGAGAAAATATAGGATACCCAAGTTTTTAATCGTATCTAATGCTTTTTCACAATGTGAATTCAATACGAAACTATGACTCCCATTCAGGAGGAAAATATAGGATACCTAAACCCAAGTTTTACTCGTATCTAATGCTTTTTCTTTAATATAGGAGATGTTTAAACTGATTCTGCTTTTGCTTGTGCTTCTTTCTTAAAACAGAAGCAGAATTAGAATCAGTTTTCAAAATCTGATTGAAAACATATTATGATAATGGCCTCCAACTTCTAACAATGGCCTACAACTTCTAAAACATATGTTTGTAGGAGTAAATTAGAGCACCAGAAGTACTTCTGCACTGTCACCCAAATACTCAAACTTCTGATTCTGCTCCCTAAAGGAGCAGAAGCTGTTTTAAGAATCAGATCAAAACACCACCTCCATATATGGGTATAATTTCAAAAGATAAGACAAAAAGTAGGTATAAAGACTAAGTCCATTATAATTATTCATCGTTAAATACATTTGGACCATTTGGTTTGTCTAATTATATTTTTAGTAATGAAAAAAATCCATGTATATATGTATGAGTATTGATTGCTTGCTTGCCTGTATCTCGATGAGGACGGTTGAGTAAGCATAAGCAAAGGCAATGTCACCAATGGCTTGGAAGGTTCTCCATACTTTCTCACTTCCTGACACATCTACTCCGATAGTCACTCCCGTTAGGGTTGTCTTTACTTTCTGCCCGTTACCTTCAGTTCAAATCGTTCAATATTTTGTCAATGTGCATGTAAAAATAGCAAAAAAGGGGAAAAATTATACCTTTCTCGGCCTTTTGGCTAAGATCAAGTGTAGTATCTGTTCTTATCAGTTTAATATCTGATATGTGGGTTATTAGCCCACACGATATTAACTTAATTTTTTAAGGGGGAAGGCCCGCTAAGGCAGCTTGCTGTCTGGGTCTTCAGGCGTCGCCTTGGCGTTGCACTGCTGCCATGGCCCGGCGCACCCCACCAAAAAAAAATAAAAAAAAAAAAAAAAAAAAGCAAAAAAGGGGAAAGTTTAGAATCTTCTATGCAATATTTATTTATTTATTTATTTATTTATTTATTTATTTATTTATTTATTTATTTATTTATTTATTTATTTATTTATTTATTTATTTATTTATTTATTTATTTATTTATTTATTTATTTATTTATTTATTTATTTATTTATTTTTTATTTTTTTGCTAGACTTTCTAGTCTGTTAAGATCCGGGGTTGTATCATAAAAGGTTAATTTGTTTTTTAATTTGAAAATTTTGAAGGCGACAATCTTATTGCAGTATTATTGTGTCTTTAGTAGTACTTTTCTATATTTTAGTTCGAGTAGGTATTTTGGAGTCTTTGGTTGGACAGTTGGATATTTTTGTGTGTGACATCTAGATGAATTAGTTGGCAGTAATTCCAATTTGATAGTTATAGACTTATGAAACATGTGTCCCACGTCAGCAGGTGACTTGCTGATGTGATGGATAACCTGCTAATTTATGGAGTCAGTTCATTCCGAAGTTCAAGGATGACTATTTTTTTTAAAGTTCGAGAACTTTGTTTTGAGAAGGATAGTTTTCGTGTGATAACAATACCATATTCATACACTCCTTCCATTTCCTAAAAAAATACACTCTGTCCGTCGAGTTTTATTACACAAATATATTAGGGAAAAACACAAAACTCAATGTCTGAATGGAGAATATTATGGAAGTGGAAGTATAGAAATAATGATTTTTTTAAGGTAAATAATGAAATATAAATACCTGCAATTTTGGCAATGGAGAGGGCAAGGCCAATAGATGAGTAAGCAAAAGACATGGCAGCTGCTAAAATAGAAAGCCATGAGAGCTCATGGAAATTGGGTATCTGGCTCAGAACAATCTCGATTGCTGCAAATATTATCATATATGGGTAGTTCGATACCCCGCATGCAGCTCCATGCCCGTTTTTGTGATAGCAATTTGACTTCTTCACAGCCCTACCTTATTTTTAATAATAATAATAATAATGAATTTATATTACAAATCACAATGTCAACATTTATCAAATATTAATTCCAGGTTTTTTCTACTATATACTAAATATAATTAGAAGAATGGACAATTTTCTTTTAGCTAATACTTTTATATATATAAGGAGTATCATTTATTATGAGTTTTTTTTTAAATGTCACTAAAATGTAATTCTTGGAGTAAGATATTATTAAACCTAACTTACTATGAGAATATTATTACGGTTACTATAATGTAAAATTGAGTATGATCATGACCACTAAATTACTCTCTACTATAGTTATGTATTTGAGAATAAAAATTCTTTTGCTTCTTTACTACCTTTATTTTAGTCATATATTAGTGAGAAAACTAATTCAAATACCCCCAATTTTGAAAGAGTGTGAAGTGAACATCCAAACTTGCGCATGCAATAAAAATATCTCAAACTTTGTAAAAGTTATGTTAGCACCATGATCATGATTTTTCTTTCACAAATGTAAATTTGTGATAGTTTAAATACATTGAATGCGATTAACACTCAAGCTCTTAGCTTCTACTTCCTCTGTTCTTTTTTATTAGTCCCCTTAGGGTTTGGCATGAGATTTAATAATAAAGTAGTAGGGTAAGTATAGAGTGTGTAGGGTAAATGATAAAGTAGGAAAGATGGTATATTAAAAAGAGTAAAGTGATGATAAAGTAGGAAATAAGGTGTATTAAGAAGAGTAAAGTGATGGTAAAGTAGGAAAGAGAAAGTAGTTTGTAAAAAGTAAGTGGGGGTAAAAGTAATAAAAGTAGGAGTATTTTCTCAAAAACTTTCCTTAAAGAGAAAGGAGACAAATAAAAAAAACGTCCCAAAAAGGAAAGAATGACTAATAAAAAAGAACGAAGGGAGTATTTATTAATTTGTTAGTCTATATATGTATGTTTATTGTATCCTCACAAATGTAAAAAATTTAAATTGTATACTTAAAATAATAAAATCATAAACTGCATTTGTCAAAGAAAAATCATACGAACGTGAGTGCTAACATAACTTTTTATATAAAGTTAAGAATATTTATATTACATGTACAAGTTCAAAGTGGTCACCTCACACTTCAAAATCTGGGGTATTTGAATTATTTTCCCCTATATTAGTCGTATTCCACATATTAGTCATTATTGGAATTTTTATATTTGTACTTTAATATGATCTAGATTTTTATAAAAGAAATCATACAAAATAAAGTAAACAATTTCAAAATATGTGATTCCTATTTTACCCCACTTATGAGATTCACGCCTCCTATACGCCTACAGAGTATTAATTATATTTATGTAAACAAGTTTTATTTTAATAAAATGTTTGAAAAAAGTGTTTAGCATTGTTTCATTTCATCTCTATATTATTTGGTCACTTTGACCACAATTTTACTTTAAACCGTGAAACCGTCTAGCTCGAACTCAACCTTGAAACGAAGTGGAAATAAAATTCTACATTTGACTGTCAGTCGGTCAGTCCTGAGACCAGGTCAATAAATCATCACATTATGACATATATACCCTATGAATAAAAATCAGTGGAAATCAAGATAATAAATAATTCTTAAATTGGTATTTTATTAATTATTAGTGTCCTGAGTTGATTGATACCCAAACTTCTTCAAAGTATGTATTGAATTGGTTTAAAAATTCCTGGTAAATAAAATGACTTTTCACCGGTAAAACGAATAAGCTAAAATAAAATTGCGCAGTTCATTTATTTCGTATGCATAATCGCCCCACAAAAATGTAAAAAATCTGGTTGACTGGAAAGTGTCAAAAGATTCAACTTTTGGAACCCTAAAAGTCAATGTCAAAACGTAACGCTTCAAAAGCATGATTTATTACCTGAATAAATGTATGGAATCAGAATCCACTAATAATAGTCAAACAGAACCTTGCCCAACTAAATTTTTATGCATGCAATCTCAAAGTATTAAATTCTAAGGGTCCCTTATAAAACGTTTCAAACGAGTCAATGGAACATTTATACGTCAAATTGTATTTCCTAGTGGAACCCCACAACATAAAAATGCACTCTTGGAGTTATACACGACTTAAGCACTCAACATTTTTTTCGCTTTCATGTTTATCGATTAAGCTAAATAGATTATATATGTCACTAATTTTAGCTTGAATACCTATTTATAAATGTTTGTTTACCATATTTATAAATGTTTATACAACCAAATATTCATATTCATTTACCAGTGTGGGAAAATGTAAAAAGAAATTGAATATATCATAATTCAATTTGGGTATGCAAGAAAATTTATAATAGAAAAAAAAGAAGAAACTTACACCATGCTTATAGAGGCAGTGATAGTGTACCCAATAGTAACTCCTATGAGATTTGTATACTGCGCCAGCCCACAGAGTGTCACCTTTGCTCCTCCTTCAACAACAGTTCAAATTAAATTGCAAAATTAACCCTAGCTATTAACATCTCTGACCTCTGAAATGTAGTTGGGAATCTAACAAATTAATTCAATCTTTTTTCTACAGCAATGAATTCCATCTGGGGATTGGGGTTTCAATAAAAAGAATCTGTAACACTTTGACTCAAATGACTACTACTACTACTTGTTCCATGCATATCGTTTACTACTCCCTAGCTACTCTACCCACACCCAAAACAAATTAGAATAAGATCATAAAGTAATTTTCACTTTCGGTTGGTTGATATTAACTTAAATTAACATATCTTGTATTACTATTTCATAACTTTTCACATGAGCATATAGAGTAAGAAGCAATTAGAAAAAAATTTGAGAATGAAAGTAAATGTGTAAGTTTAAATAATAGCTGCATCGATTTGTTAGGTTACTTTTCTCAAAAGACAATGCCAACATGCAAAACTGAGTGCATGATTAAGGTATCAAAATCGAAAAAAAAAATGTACCAAGAATCTTAAGAAATCAATATATAATGATACAAATGATTCATGATATATAGTTTCACATTATCATATGAGAAATTGACTTAGTTAAGGAGAAGTGGGAATGGAATTAAGGTGATGATTGTATTTAGAGGAAGGATAAATTGTAAATTCCATTTCCCACTTTTGGAAAATGATCGAGCTAATAAACCTACAAGAGAAAAAGAAGTTAGTATTTCATGTCACATTCCTCTAATTCTCTTTAACGTCATACCATTCTTAATTTTGCGAGACACCACTAGAAAATTATTGACTACTAAATGAATGTGGACATTACAAACTCTAACATGTTTTTTTTTTCGGAAATAGGTAGTAGTTTATTTTATTCCCTATATGCTCTTATGCAATTATATCTTAGCTTAGTTAGGAAATTTAATTACCGTAACAATTATGTTACACGATAAATGTTATGTACTCCGTATTAAAGTTTTACTATATTTGTTGTCAAGCTTGTCAAAAAACCATATCCATTGATAATTGCAACTTAGAATGTTTTTACTAGGACTGCAATTTGTTGGTCTGGTCTGATCTGGTCTGAACTGGTCGTATTAAGTGTAAAACTTAATACAATTATGCTGACTGTACTAAAAAGTTGGTGATATAGTTACTTTGTACTTCCTCCGTGCCAATAAAATGTGATGACATGATTCCGGTTTATGAGGTTTGATCGATGATAAAGCAAACAAATCCCTATTCACACTCAAATTATTTTAAAATTTTCATATTCAGAAACTAATTTAAAAGTTTTATAAAGTCACAAAAATATCAAATTTGATAAAAGTAAGAGATTAAGAGTGATCTGATTCGCGTTGACCAAGTGAATAAGAAATGAAATATCAATTCGGGTCAATTTGGATCGAAGATAGTATAAAAAAGTACGTTCACATGTTACATCATCTTTATTTAGTCATGTAATTATTTCATTAATTTAGACTTCAACCAAACTTTGTAATGTACACAAAATTTATTAGACTTCAACTAGTAATAAGAGTATAAAATTGACTTATTCTTAATGTTTATTTAAAACTTCTCTTGATTTTCTTTAAAAGAGGTGGAGCGGGTAAAAAATGATTGGAGTACGTATATAGCACAGCAATGACAGCATAATAAAATATTGTTTCCGAAGGTGGCACCGATCAACACATATGGTTGACCAAATATATATTTTTAAACTTATTAAATTAAATACGGAGTATTATGGGATGTTCTAGTAACGGTAACGTTAGAGTACGTCATTAAGATATATGGATGGGAGTTGGAAGATAGAGATGAAAATCATTGTATATACCGAGGTGAGATCGGACGACGTCCATGTAAGTGTAATTCCTCTTGCCGGCGGCAGGGCCGGGAAAGCGGTAGCAGTCGGCGAGCAAGGTGGAGGTGAAGTAGGTGATGAAAGAAAACGCCGTGAGAACGGCCGGACCGGCGACCCAACCCAGCTGAGCTATAGCCCATGCCAACGATAGCACCCCCGACCCTATCACGGCCGTTATTATGTGTGCACTTCCCGTCACCAACGTCCCTTCATACCACATACATATGCATAATCAAACATATGCATAATACATGTTATGTATACTATCACTACAAAAGCAACACGGGATTGACATAGACTTTTGATAGAAATTTGAAAAAGATTATAAAGAATTTGGTAGGGATATGTCAGATTCGTGTCAAAATACTTCGACACGAAATAATCAGTAACCGCGAGCCAAATCCTTATCAAACCCGTAATTTTTTGTAGTGTATGTGATGTGCATATGGTGATGGATTACCGATTCTCTTCTCTCGACCATCGTCATCTATGTCTTGAGGGATTTGCCCATTCTCTAGAGACTGCTCCATATACATGGGATTCTTGTCTCCTTGCATTCTTATGTTTTTGTTGTTTTACTTTTATCGCTCTGTGTTTGGGGCAGTCTGGTGCTCTATTACCCCTATTGAAAATGAATGAGGAGAGTGTGATGGCTATATATATATATATAGAAGGAAGAAAGGATGATGAGTATGTAATTAGTAATTACATTCAAGATGTGGGATAAAAGTGTGATTTTCTAATTGTAGTGACTTTTATTACGTCCAGATTTAGTCCATGTTGATCATGAGATTTTCTTATTGTAGTGACTTTTATATGTTCGGTTTTAGTAGGGGTGGGTTCGGTTCTTGCGGTTCGGTTTTGACCTAAAACCAAATATAGAATCAAAATAAAAAGTTCGGTTCGGTTTCGGTTCGGTTTTACACTCCAAAAACTTGGAACCACGGTTTGATTGGTTCGGTTTGTTTCGATTCGGTTTCGGTTTTTTCAGTTTTTTACCAAAAAATTACCATTTGATTTAAAATTGATATAATACTTTGAGGGATCAAACATATTACAAAAAGAATGCAAGCACACTACAACAAACAAAATAAAAATGAAAATAAATAATTATGTCTTGAATTATATGAGTATGCGAGAGAGATAAAAGTATATATATTATTAATTTACATTGTTTGTGACTAGTTAAAAAAAGTTCATGAGTGTATATGTTCTATGTGATATAGTTGAGATAAATATTTATTGTTTCATCAATATGAATTATGTAAGTTAAATAAAAATAAAAGTTGAATAATACTAATAACTAGTAAAAACATATTATCATCATTCAGTATATATACATTATTACATGCAATGAATGTGTAAATGAATTTATAAACTAAACTAAACATATCACAAATATTATTTCTCTAGCACAAGAAAACCAAAGACTATTAATGATATTAGGATTAGTTAGGATTAATGCTTAACAATTGAAAAATGAATTTTATATTTTAATTAGTTCGGTTTGTTCGGTTCGGTTCGGTTTTGAAGGGTAAAAACCAAAACCGAACCAAACAACTACGGTTCGGTTTTTTATATTCGGTTTCGGTTTGTTAGTGGTTCGATTTTATTTGGCTATGATTCAGTATAATTTGATTCGGTTTTCGGTTTTCGTTTTTTCGGACTCAGCCCCATGTTTTAGTCCATGTTGATCATTAGAGTAAATACTTTAGTCACATTTTTATTTCAATAATATTTTAAAAAAACTCAAGATAAATTTGTTCCAAATAGAGTAACACGACTAATTTAACATGCTTTAAGGATTTTGGATGTTTACAAAAAAGACACCCCATTCAATCCTAGCAAGACAATGCACGGAAAAACATTAAACAATTTGCATTGAGGGTTCAATTTTTTTTTCCATTAAAATGTTGAATAGTAATATTATTTGATTTAACAATTGAAGATATGCAATACTTTCAATAAAAAAATTTGAAAACTATGAGAGAGATATATTATCTAAAAAAAACTATACTTTTTCGAAATTTCTACATCAATTATGTTGTATACATATATTTTTATATTTTATTTTCAAATTTGTGGCCTTGTGGATGTTCATATGAACCCTTTTGAACAAAGGGATTGACCTCTCCTCAAAGACGGAATATATCTTATTTTGGGAAAAAATGATGCTAATGCAGTCGATTAAGAAAATGTGTTACTCTCACATTCTCAAAATTATCTTCTTTTATTCCAGTTTGCGAATTGGTCTATCCCAATGAGATCTACTTTTTCCTTTTTTTTTTTGACAAACCTTACCTTATCAATTTAATATAGCACTCTACAATTGAATTGTCATTTACCCACATTTATAACTCTATTGTTCTAACTGTCCCACCCAACCTTCTTTAATTTGATTACGGGTATGTTTAGATATGATGTTTGAGTCAATAGTCAATTGTTTGATCATTTTTAGCATTTTGATTAATGAAAACGTTGATCCATATTGTTTGTAAGTAGTTATTCGGCCATAGCGTAGTTGAATGGAACAACTGAAACAGAAACATTTCAAATATAAGCATTTTGGGTTTAACATTTTGAAATAGGGCATTCATAACCTGCCAAACGCTATGATCAAACAACTAAATTACCAAACAACTTTTTGTGACCTGCTGCAAACTCAATCTGTTAGTCAAATCCGCTATCAACAATGCGTCAATATAACACACTAATTGCTGGTATCTAAACTCGCCCTACATCTCTCTTTATTCTTGAAGTCTCTATCCTCTAAACTTTGACCTGTTATTGAAGTCTCTTTCATTTATCAATCTTGACAACCCCTACCTTTGAATCCCCTCGTTCCATCTTCAAATATTTGCACACACACCCTCTTTCTTACCCCATAATAATCCTTTTATACATCCCTTCATTTGTACAGAAACCCGCAAGCATTCACTACACTATCTTTGTATATAATCTTCAAATCTATTTATGACGAGTAAAGAACTCTCTGTTGATCTGATTAGGTTAATTGACATAAAGTTGTACGTTGAAGTGGTTGGGTACTTTGTTGATTTTCCTTAATTTCTTGTGTGAGTTAATTTGTAGCTGTTATCCCTAATTTTCTAGATCTCATTCATGCACAACTTCAAAGATTTTGAGACATTATTCCAAATATTTTGTACGCCTTACATCAATTCTGAAACTAATAGTTGATCAAGCTTCTTGTAGAGATTGAATATATAACTCTAAAGACGTAGATGGAGTACATTTAGATCGAGTTACTAAGTGATTGTTATACTAATTTGATGTTAAACCCTCCCCTCTTAGGGTTTTAATTTATTGAGTCCCTATCATTATGATTAATATGTAGCACGCCCTTACATGGTTGGGTATATGTAACTAGAGGAGGAGCACAATGTTACAGTATATCAATTTTAGATTAGTAAGCACTGGATCAAATGATAACTTCAAAACACATACAAATATATAACTCTCTTTTACACTCTACTTTAGCGCATCCGGTTTTTAGCAATTTGGATTGTTTTGTTTTGTGGCTAGCAACACTTATGTTTTCATTTTTAAATACTCTGTATATAGCTTTATATTATATTAGAGCACTACTTGAAATGAAACATCTACTTGCATTAAAGATGATGATATAACAACAGCTACACACATTAAAGATTGATGCCAAGACCACAAACTAGAGTTCATCCATGAACTTTTGCGCAACAGTTTTCAATGTGTTTTGCATTCTATGTTCGGTCTCTTTTCGATTTGCTTCAGCAACCTTCGTGCCCTTGTCCCTCTTTCAACTCTTTTTCTAAAGTCTCCACTTTTTTGGATGTTGCCCCTATATTTCGAAAACGGCCATCTCCAAGACCACAAATTCGACAACCTGATTTGCTACCTAAAACAGAAGTCATAATTTCAAGTCCAATAATAGGACCATTAATAGGAATTTCCTTCAAAGGAGTATCTTGAGTAAGCTGATAATCTTTGTCCTTTTCTTTGAGATACTAATTAGTTTTGGCAACCATTTTCTCCTATAAAAAACTACACAACACAAATAAAGTTATTAAAGTTTTTAGTAACAACATTTTTGAACAATGTTGTTCTTTTGTTGCATCGTTTGTCCAACATTTATCTTTCCCAACATAAGTTATCCCAAATGCAGCAACTTCCGGAAATTTTGAGCATTCATGCTATTGATATATTTGATTGCTTAGTTCATAAGTCCACGTGTTGGCTTAAATTGGCAGCAACATAGAGCATTAATAAGTCAATGAGAATATGTGAATGATTTTCAAAAGGCTAAAGGGTCAAATAGGTACATGAACTAACTTAAAGTGTTCAATTAGCCCCTTATATAGGAGGTTCTGCCCGGCCGTTGCCAATTGGGGCGGTTCCCAGTTGAATTTTTTGATGAAATTTTTTGAGCATCTTCTTCATTAAGTCTAGTTTACCTATATCAAATTTCAGCTAAAAATTAAATCGGGAAGGCAGTCAAACGATTTTCCGAAATGTACTGCGCAGTTATCTTCAAAAAAATCATTTGATTGCCTTCCCAGTTGAATTTTTAGCTGAAATTTGGTATGAGTAAACTAGACTTAATGAAGAAGATGCTCAAAAAATTCCACCGGGACCGCCCCAATTGGCGACGGCCGGGCAGAATCTCCTATATAAGGGGCTAATTGAACACTTTAAGTTAGTTCATGTATCTATTTGACCCTTTAGCCTTTTCAAAAAATATTGGTAGAAAAACTAAACTTAAACACTAATCCAACAATAGCTTTAGCAAAATTCTGAGAGAAAATACTCATGATCATGCAATATATCCCAGGTCCCAAAATACTACAAACAAGAGACTTGCACTTGAATAATCACACTTATACCACGTTACTAGCAATTTTAGATTAAACATTAAAATAACAATAACTAGTGAAAATATGATTCTACTTCGTAGAAAACCAAACATAAAGAGTGATCTATTTGGCTCCATATTTCACTCCATTTGTAACTTTTAATGGAGTTAATGTTTATGATTTTCTCATGTTTACAACTTTCATCCATACTACCTATGAACTCCATGTTTTCTAAGACTAGTACAAATATGAAAAACAAAGTTACATGATAGTCAAACTTAAACAATTGCATTTGACTCTGGTTAGGGAGTCAAATGAACATTAACTTTAATTTATTTTCAACTACTTCAAGCATCATAAATAATTAAAATTCACGGTTCTTGTATTCAACTTGTAGGACAAAACTGCCAAATGTAAAATCTTTAATCATAAGTTCAACTTTTTAATGAAATAAAATATCAGTAGTCAAAAGAACATAAAACAAATTAAAAAGCAACTTGTTGTTGTCTATATAATTTATTCACGCTTATGTGCTTCACATAATAATCAACATAAGTTGTTTCATGGTCTTCAGGTACGTGACATTAAAATTTTGGGTGGTTAACTTATCATCTCATTCTGCAACTACAATTTTCACTCCATTTACATCCTTGCTATGTTTCTACTCGAAGAGGCTCTCTTGCTAACTTACAGAGCTCATCATTGTACAAGGGTGAGTTTGCAACCCTTAAGCTTCGTACCTAAATAGATAATAAATTA